GTCCACGCATGATGAAGATCAAGTCCTCAAAGGAAATCAGGGTGACATCATCAGCATCGTGAGTAGATGCTGAGTGGCCAGAAAACAGTAAATGTCCACCACAGGGCTTAATAAATGTGTGTCAACTGAGGGACAGTGGCCTCCCTTCATTTTGCACTCTAAGACACTATGGGCAACTTCTCTAGACCTTATCAATGGACACCTTGGAGGACATTGGTTTATCACATTCTTCCTCCCACGGCAGTTTGAACAAAACCTTCCAGAAAGGAGAAATGGAATAGCTACTTGAAAGGGGAGGGCACTAGGAGGGATGAATCAGGTCAACTCTGTCATCACTAGCCCAAGAAACCTCTGACCTTCCACGCTAAGTCACGCTGGCCTACCTTCTACTCTTCCAGCCCGCTCTCAAAACAATGCAAGTTCAGTTCATTCACACACACACCCCACTAATTGTCATCTCCATGAGTGGGGCCAACAGTTCTTTCTGCTCACTTCCATTTCTATGACCCATAGCATAGCATATTCTTGCTGCTCAGCAAATACTTGTAGAATGAATTCAATGAACACACGAGGTGCTAAAAGAGGCCAATTGGTCAGTTACACACCTGTCGAGGGCAGGCTCCACCTTCCCTTCCTAAGCACATGGGGTGCCGGGGGGGTGGGGAGACTACAGGTAGAGACAGGTGAGCTAATGTACCGTCCACTAGGGGCTAGGCCATCCTACGCTTCCCCCCCTTCCCAGAATCGTCCCCTGGAGGGGAGAAGGGCCCATCCGGCCGTGGCAGCAGTAATCCACAGCTGCTGGGGGAGGAAAGAAATGATCTCATTCAGATCTGCAGTATCCCTTCCTTGCCATGGGCACCCACCCAAGCAGGAGCATTGCACACGGCACCAGGCTCCGCGGTGGCCCATCTGCGTGTGCCTCCTGGGACGAGATACTAAGACACCCTGCTATTTGTACAGCAGCCCACGGCCTACCAAGTTCTTTCCTAATTGTTTCCTTTGATGCTCATGATAACCAACCTGTAAGACAGGCGAGTGTCATTGTCCCCATTTAATAAATGAAGAAAGGGAGGCCCAGAGCCTTGGTCAAGGTTGCACATCCTGGGAACTTCAGATAGAGCACAAACGTTAGGGCCAGGGACCCCCAATCCTCCTCATCCGCCATGTGGACAGGGCCTGTATGTTCAGGGAGGCCTTCTTTTGAATTCTCCCCATCCTGTCATGGAACAATGTTGCAACATGCTAGACAAAGGGACTCAAGGAAACAATGTATTATTGGGTTTCCTTCTAGTTGAATTGTGTCTGTTTGTATCCAGTTTGGACTGAATGTATTTGCACTGGGTGGGTGGGGAAGGGAGAGAGACAGAGATACTTGGATTTCACTTGCGGTGCGGTTAAAAATGTGTCTTTGGGTTTGGGATTGACTAATTCCAATTTCTTCCTATTTTTGATTCACGTCAGGTCAACACAAAACGCTGCCATTCAGAAAAGGCTCAGACTATGGATCTGGGGTCTCCCTCTCATCTCAGCCCTGAGGTGATAACAGATGGCTGAAGAAATAGCCTATGACCTGACTGCTTCTCCTTAGGGGACAGAGTTCATACTGTGTCCTTGGAATTGGAATTTTATCTGCATGCCTTTCAAAAACCAACCAACCAACCCAATTCTCCCACAATTGTGAGTCAAGCTATATTAAGACCCACACTGAGGTTTAAAGAAGTTACATAAGAAGTGATTATGTTGACCCCGGGGGAGAGGGGGGGACAAGATGAACCAGAGTGTTTTCTCCTTTTTCCTCAAATACGGCCCTCCATCAACTCAACCCTGAGAGCAGGCCTGGCCCCCGCTGCAGCCTCCGCCACAGGCTCCGGGCTTTGCCTGTGACACCTCACTTGACCTTGTCACCTCTGCTAGGGACAAGCGCCATACCTGTGCTGTGGATGAGGAGTCAGAGGCTCAGCAGGGGGAAGTAAACTGCCCAGCTCGGCCATGCAGTTAGGAGGTGGCAAACTGGGAGTCAGATCAGTATGTGCCCACTTTGAGCCAGAAGAAAAGAAAAAAAGAAAAAAAGGAGTAGAGAAAAGAAAAGAAGTAAAGAGGAAAGAAGAAAGAAAACCAGTGGGTGGCAACATCTTGGAAGTCTTCATTATGCAAGGAAGAGAGGTGCCCTCTGAACCCAAACTCTTCCCCAGGTCCTTCACATGAGCAATCATAGTAATTTCTCCTGTGTTTGGGTGATTAGGAAATCAGGGGGTGTTCGCTGCAGCAGGTAGCACTAGCCGGGCTCTGCACACGGGCACCGCACCCAGCTTGGCAGGCTTCCTGAGGAGGCCAAGATGCTGAAGGACAAGGAGGCGTCGGGCAGACAGACCGGGACAGGGAACGGTGTCCAGCCTGGGCTCTCTCTGGAAGCTGGAGATGGAACCAGGGCCAGCCCGGGGGAGGGCAGTGTGAGGCAGCCCTCCTTGGTGGGCTCCTCCTGCCAGCCCCACTTCATAACTCACATCTCTCTCCTTCCAGGCCCTCGGCAAGATGCAGAGACAACTTCTAACGGGGCGAGTGAGCAGAGGTGGGGGGACAGGGTCTGGCAGGTGGGTGGGAGGACACACAGAAGTGGCATCACTCTTGGAGTGTAACTGGTGGTTTTGTACTCATTCCTATTGTTTCCTAACTTCTTTTCTTCATAGTCGTAACAATCAGCCATGTATCACATTGAAGACCACTGAGAACCCTGGGAGAAGCTCCAGTCTGTGGCTCTGCTCCCCCATCCTGGCTGGACATCTCCCTTCCGTCCTGCGTGAGACATCTTTCTCCTGCTCTGATTTCCAAGCAAATGTTCTCACACCACACACTGCAAACCACTCTGCCTCGAGAGAACTTGATGGTGCTGACGGAATGTTCCCCGGGCCTCCTCCCGCAGCCGTGTTTGTGAAGACTGAGGTCTTCCCATTCACCCTGGTGGGAAGGTGTAGACTCCTTTCTCCTTCGGTTTTGCTGGACTCGCTTTCCCTTCATGTTAAGCTTTGCCATGTGCTCATCCCCAGGCCCCTGTTGACAAATACCCGTGTCCCCCTGGTTCCGGGCCCCCCACCCCTGCCCCTGAATCAACGACAGCTCATTTATAAGAGGTTTTTAATTTCATCTTGGTATGCCATCACGAGTGGAGGAAGGATCTCTATTTGTTTTCACTCACATAGTACCTGCTACATTCCCCAGCGGATCTCCGCCCCAGCAGCCTGCGAAGTCATACAGCTTCTGCATGATTTTCACTCGCCAGACTGGTTTGGGGTTCTGGGTGGTTTGCATAAATTATAAACATGAGCACAAAAATCACACAACACAGACTCTACCATAAGGGAGCACGTTCCCTCTGGCTTTGCAGAGAGTGAAGGGGACCAGGCTCTTAAAACCCCGGACGTCCTCGGGAGTGAGGCCGAGCCTGGACTGGCCCCTCCCAGGGGAGTGCAAGCTGACCCCCCGGCTTCCCCCTTCTCCTCGTCTGCTTTCTCAGGAGGCATCCTAGCACAGAAGTAGCTGGTCCTAGCACCACAGCTGGAGGACAAGGTGCAGAAGCATCCCCGTGTATGATGGCAGCTGGCTCTTCTGTGCTCCAAGTCCGAGAAGCGAGACAGAATGAAGAACCCCGCGGTTCCACCTGGATCCCTGCTGCCTCTATGAGCTCCAGAAGGCTGTTTAGAAATAGACTTTCTAGAACAGGGGCCAGCCGACATTTTATGAAAAGAGCCAGACAGCATAGGTAGTAAATATTTCAGGCTTTCGGGGCCACATACACTCTGTCCCATAGTCCTTTTTTTTTTTTTTTTTTTTTTTACAACCCTTTAAAAATGTAAAAAAACATTCGCAGCTGGCAGGCCATAAAACACAGCCTGCGGGCCGTAGTTTGTCAACCCCTGGTCTATAACACCACTATGCCCTCCTCCATCCCCTTGGGACAGCCTCCTCCCCATGGCAGGACTCTGGCCCCCTGAGCTGCCCTGAGCTGGCCTCTCCAGCCGAGGCTTTGCAGAAGGGACTCTGGCAGGCAGAGTGGCCCTCAGGGCTCAGGGTGCGGACCCCCCCCCCCAGCCTCTTTAGCCAAGTGACTGGTCTGGTATTTTAACAAATATCGGCTATTAGTTTCAGCCCTGCTCATGCATCCTGGGGGTGAATGAAGCCTCGGCGTCCCCCAGTGAGGTAGGTACATAGTGTCAGCCTCATCCCACACCTGCAGATGCCTAAGTTCAAGAGCAAAACTGACCTTCCTATTGCTGCCCACAACTACACGTCAGAATTTAAAAGAAAGCTGAAGAGTCTAGGCTTTACCTTTTCTAAGAACACGCTCAAGGCTTTTTCTGTCCCACCCAAGCCCTGTGATTCAGTCCCCAAGAGAGCAAGAATCCATGAAGGAGTACAGTCAGCCACCTGGAGCTGCTTTCCAGACCTCGATGACACTCTTGAAAACAGAATTCACTCAAGCACTCAAAGCTCTTGGCTCAGGTGCTGCAGTCCTCTCTGCCCTGCCGACAAGTCTCTTCAAACTAAAAATAAAGTTTATAAAAGTAAATTATCTCATTTTATAACTTAAGTGCATCAAGCATTTCCTTAAATATAGTTCACACTGAAAATAAAGTTACTTTTGCTGTACAGTTGATGTCTGTTATAATTAGGAATAAACTTTGATGATAAAGCATGGAAGGTTACACACTCACACACACATCTATCTGTCTGTCTGTCTGTCTGTCTATGGGTATATGGATGGGTAGACATATGCACCTCTTGACAAGAGCTTCCCCCAAAATGGCAGGAAGTTGTTAGGAGTCTCTAGGTACCTAGTTTGCATGAGAATGTCTATATTAAAAGTCCCTGTCCTTAATGATAAACACATCTTCATACCTAAAGCTAAGACTTATCAGAAACATGAAACTATGCGATCCATTATATATTCAGTCTTTGGAAATGCCGAGCTACACCAGGTCGTTATACAACAGCAATCCGACAAAACTCCCTCCCCAACCCACCTCTCCCCTGGCCTCCCCATCCTAACGTCGGCCGACCCCTCACGTCATACGGTTGTTCCGGTGGGAGCCCAGCCACAGAACTCGAGGGGAAGACTCAAGAGGTAAAGTAAGAATTCTGCATGGAGTACAGGTGGTCGATGGGGTTTCCCACCCGGGACTGCAGGGGCCCGGCTTCTGAGGTTGCTAGGAAACAGTCACCCAGGTTACTGAGGGAGGTGTCGTCACTATCCAGGTCGTGGAAGAGGGGCTCGGCACCTGAAATGGAGAGGAAATGGTCATGAGGGTCTCAAAGAAGTGACTCCCTTCGGGGCTAGGGATGCAAAAGCCCCCCCCCCCCCCCCCGCCCCGTGCTGCGTGCTGCGGGGCGGGTGGAGGGAGAGCTGTGAGGGGAGCGGGAGGGAGGGAGGGGATCCCTGTCCGCAGATCTCTCAGGGCCTTAGGGGGCCCCGGGTGGAAAGCACAACCCCTGAAAACAGGATAAACTAGGTTAGGACAAAGGGCCGAATGGGGTGCAGCAGAAGCAAATGTCAGAACGTCTAGACAGTGAGTTTGGGGAGTGAGCAGGACGCGGCAGGGCCGGCTGGAGAGGCAGGGGCAGGGCTCTGGCAGGACTCGCCCCCCAAAATGGTTCTTGAAGGAGGCCTGGGACTAAGACAAGTAGCGGGGCTGTGAAGGAGGCTCGTGCCACCCCCGGGGGTAACACGGGTCCCTTCAAACAGCAACATCAGACTGAATGCCTGCTGACTCCCGGAATGTGTCCTGCAAAGGACAGATGGTTAGGTGCCCGCCCTCCACTAATTCACACCCTTGACGGAGCAGCCGGTAGGGCAAACTGGATCGCTCCGGGAGCACTGTGACAAGAATAGAGGTGTCTCCATTTCAGCCTTGACTCATGCTACCTGCTCAGATGTATCTATGTAAGAATGAGGGTCAGTGAAGTCTCTGCAGAGAGCTGGATCTTAATCCTAGTTTGCTGTACGCATCACATAGGAGGACAGGGGTTACTTCAACAACAATGTTTTTTCATGAAGGCAAAAAAAGCACTTTGCTTGACAAAATCTGTGAGCTGAGCCATGTATCTCTGATTGATACTGTTTTGAAGGTTTGCCAAATAAAACTGTATTTTTAGCCATCGGTGCAGTTTATCACAGATTACACAGATTAGATGCATTACATCGGCCACTGACCTTCTCTGTATAAAAACGCAGTGACCTCTATTTGGCCCTGAGATTGAACTTCAGCCCTCCACTCCAGAGCTCGCGCACCTCATCAGAGTGCCCTGGCCCAGCGCTGACCATCAGCTGAAGCAGCAAGCAGGGCGAGTGGGGGAGGCTAAGCTATCCACACACCCAACATTTAAAGCAACCCCAGATCGGAGGGGTGGGGTGGGAGGGGGCAGGGGATGATTTCACTTCACAAGTCAGGTTGTTTCAGGAGTTAATTTAGAGCACTTAAATAGTATCGGTTCAGTTAGAAAGGTTCAATTAAGGCCTCTGCCCGCATCACTGCGGAGACTGCTTACGAGCATGTGGGACCAGGTATGAGATGAAAGGAGGGAAATCTGACCACAGCAAACAGGTCTACAATGGAAGTACAACCTCTTATTTAAAACCAACAAGAGGGCGCCTGGGTGGCTCAGTTGGTTGAGTCCCGGGATCGAGTCCCACATCGGGCTCCCTGCTCAGCGGGGGGTCTGCTTCTCCCTCTGACCCTCTTCCCTCTCGTGCTCTCTGTCTCTCATTCTCTCTCTCTCAAATAAATAAATAAAATCTTTAAAAAAATTAAAAAAA